AAATTATCATCTTAATATATAAAAGCTTACTTTAAGAGCTTAAAATAAAATCTTTGCCTTTTCATATTTTATTATGAATTTGCTTTAAATATTAATAAATTCTTCCAATTATCTGAAGTTTAATTAAGTCAATAAATATGTACACAGTTAATTATTTTTTTATAAAACTCTGCGATTATTTTCAGGAGGAAAAATTTCCTTATAAACTGAATGTGTAAAAAATCAATTTGAAATTACCAAAAATGAGAAAATTAGTTTATATCTTTAAAAATTATCAGTATTAGACTGCATATTGTTTAATTTGGCCACAGTCCAGATTAAAAGTGTTTGAATGTGCTTCCATTTCTTTATATGCTGACCTCCAACTTAAAATAATTACTTATCTTCTGTTACAAACAATTCTTTGTTTCAGAATTATATTTTAAACAATATATAGCATCAAAAGGAACAAATGTATTTTAATATTATGATTACAATAACACATCAATTGCTTGAAATTGTAGTATATTTATTTATAAGGATAATTTGAACAATGTGAGATTCAGATTTCATTAAATAATATTTTGTTCACTTAATAATAATAATAATAATAATAATTTCCATTATTATTAAAATATTGTTATTACTAAATCCAAATACAATTACAATATTTAGAAAAAGCCAGTTATAGATAACAAAAAAAAAATGCAGCTGTAAACTTCTTAACATAAACAACTCAGTTTCAAAAAAGATAGGAATAACAACAAATTTATCTGACAACCATAAAAATTTTATTTGAATACAAATGAAGTGTTTATAGAATCTAATTTAAACATTAATTCCTACTTTTCATCAATACTACTAGACTATTCTATTAATTACAATAAAATTTACCAATTTTTACTTAAATAAAAATATTTATTCTTTATAGTACAATTTGTTAACATTTATAAAAATGTAAACAAAGTATCAATATTTATAAAAACATTGTAATTAATATTCAAAAGGCATCAGTATTTTAACCTTTCTAGCTTCTCATTAAAAACTGTTTCATTACCTTCAACAAATTATATTAATGTGAAAATAAAATTACATAATTCATAAAAACAACTTAAATTTTAACTCTAAATACTACTTTACATTTTTATTTGAAATCTATTACTTTTATAGAATAATAAATTGGACATAACTAATTTAGAAAATTCTATTTTTATAGAGAAACGTTTTATGTTTAAATATAGAACTTTTCTATAAAAACTTATTCAAAGGGTTCATAAACTTATTATTGCATAAATATATATTTTTTAAATGTTAAAATATTTAAAAACAAAAATATATCTATCTACTTAAAATTTCAAATTTTAGTCATATACTAAGCTTATTAATAAATAAAAAAACTTTATCTGATCTTCATACTTGTAACAATAAATATTTTTGCCAAAAAATATATTCTTAAATGATCCTGTTTTGAAATAAGATAAATATCTTTCATATAAGGTGCATCCAGAATAATTATCAACATATGTTTTAAAATTTTTAAAAACTAATTATATTAATTATTAACTAGATAAAAAAAACAATGTTGTTTTTAATCATGTTTATTAAACAAACGAAATGCAACAAAGTTGCATCTTCCATATTTTTTTTTAAATTAGCAGAAAGAAATTTTACCATCCAAAAAAATTTATCAACTATTTTAATATATGCTTATCAGTTTGCATTTTCATATTTATATTGTTCCTGTGTTAAACATATGAAAATATTTGACACATCTGAAACATTGGAAAGTTGTTTGTTACTATGGATAAAAAATATAATTATGAAAAAAAAAAAAAAACAAAATTGAGGTCTGGACAGTTGAAAGCATTTTCCAAAGTAAAATACCTCAAAGATTAATTACAGCTGTCAACAATAAGCAAATTTTTCAGCAGAAAGGAGGTTCAACAGGAAAATCAAATTCTTGACAAAAAACAAACATGACTGCTCAACAACAAAGGCATATATTTCAATCAGCAACAAAACACTAATGTTCTGTAAGGCAAGTAGCAGAACATTTGCAAAGTTGTGTTTGAAAATCAACTGTTGATCACACTTTGTTGAAATCTGGAAAAGCTAAATTCAAAAGAGTGAAGAAACGACCTTATCTTAAACCATACCAAAAAGAGGCTAGGTTCACCTGGGCCTAAAATCATATGATCTGGGATAAGGAATAAACCAAAGTTATTTTCAGTGGGAAAAGAAGTTGAATTTAGACAAACTAGATGGTTTTAAATTTTACTGACAGGATTTACAGAAGAAAGAACACTACTGCAACAAAAGGGTGCAAGGTGAAGAGTCAGTAATGGTTTTGGGAGGCATTGGATTAAAGAGTAAAACCCTTTTAGCACAAGTAAATAATAGGATGAACTCAGTTGATTATTAAAATATGCTGAAAATTAATTTGTTACCATATGCCACCAAACTTTGAGCTAGGAATTACATCTTTCTCAGTTCATGCTTCTTCCAAGAAAAGGTTTGTCAGAAAAAATATTCATCTTTTGGATTGACCTGCATTGAGTCCCAACATAAATCCAATGAAAAATTTGTGGGGATCATTAGGAGACAGATATATAAAAATGGTCAACAATTTTCTAATGTTACACATCTTAAGGCTGCAATTTATGATGCTTGAAACATAATTTATAAAAGAATTCTTTAAAATTTAATTAAAAGTATGAAAGATAAGATATTTAAATTAATTAATTTAAATGGCAAGTTTATTAGTTACTAATTTTCATTTTTTATATGCAATTCACTTAATTCACTTGAGTTGTAATTTTTTGGAATAGTATAAAATTTCTTTCTGCCAATTTACAACAAAATATATGGAAGATATAACTTTGTAACATTTAATTTGTGTAATAAACAAGATTAAAAACAATATTGTTTTTTTATGTAGATAAGATAACTGAGTATTTTTTAAATCTGAAAACAACAAATTTTGATAATTATTTGAAACACACCTTATATAACCATTTACGATAAAACAGACAGAAAAAAATAAAATAGAAAAATTTACTTTCCAACCACATTATAAACCTTGTATATAAAAAGATTCTGCTACACATTTTCATTTTGAGCATTTTCAGACTCATTCAATCAATGTATATTATATCTATTAAATACTGAGAAATTTACACATTACATCTAAACAAGCAATTATAATATTACATAATATTCATAAATTATGATCACTGTGATGGCTATGCTGATAAACTATACAACAAAATGAAAACACTCTTTGCATCATAACATCTTAAAAATTTCCTGCATTTATGTAATAAATAATTATATATATGGTATATTACTTTTGTATACATAAACATTATTATTAAAACATAAAACGACTGAAATAGCTATTACAATAGATCACATCAATATATTTAAATTCTTGAAAAACAAAATTTAAGGAAAGTCATTGAGAAATCTCAAGAATTTCAAAAAATAAGTTTTAAGCAATATCCTGTTTTTATAATTCTTTATATATTGTATTGAAAATATATTCTTAACCCTTGGTTAAAAACATATTTTCAAATAAAACACTACATTATACGGTCTGTTAAAAAAATATGAATAGTTTAGTATATATATATAATAGATTTATAAAGACATACTTGAAATAAAGCAATCATTGCTTTATGTGAAATATTTATTCACATGACTACATAAAAAACATTAACTTTTTTTGTTATAACAAAAATAAAAAGTTTTTCTTTGGAAATCATGACGTAATCTAATTATAACCTAAGTATTTTGTCTTCATTTTAATAACACAAAATATAATTATCTATTAAGGCATAAAAATTAATCTTTGTCAGTTAAAATTTTAAATCGTAAATTCTATCATTTTTCCCATACTAATTTCGCACGTTCCATGCAAATAAGTCTGGAACATTCTTTACAGACGCCCAGCAGCTGCTTAAACATTTATCTACTGACACCATGAACATGTTAAAAATCAAACAAACACAAAAAATATGAATTTTACACAAAAAATATTACTTGCAATTTTGCAACGCAGCAAGCCTGGTGGGGTCTGTGAGACCCAGCACTCACGCAAATATGTCTTGTTCACACAATATCGTGCGATGCACTAAAAATTTGGTGGGGATCACCAGTGCATTAATAGAAATGCAGCTACTAATAATTTTAAGTCGCTATCACAACAATTATAATAGTTGTAAACTTTTAAAAATGAGTCGAGCTTCTGAGACCCCACCAGGCACCGCAAAGGTTAAAGAATATATTTATATAAAATTAATATATAATACAAATCTGAAAAATAAAATTTTGAAATAGTATAATTCTTATAAAGAATTCTGTTCCCAAAATATTTCTTTATTGACTAGTGTGCTATTTAGGACATGTGGAAATGTGCAAAAACTAGAAAATAACAGTTAATAATTAGATAATGAAAGTAAAGAATTTTTAACAATTATATATTACAATATATTTCACTAATTTTCTGTTAAGAATTTTAATAATAAAAAAATAATAATAGGAAAAAAGTTTCTACATGTTTAAAGCTAAAATTTTAATGTATTAAAACAAAAACAATTTTATGAACAGATATTGTAAAATAAATTTCATGTTAAAGCTCTTATTGTTATAATACTACTTGAGTTATGTTAAAGTTTATTAAATACCCATTATAATTATAATTTATAAATTTTAGCAACAATTTTTTCAAATTGCAGCCCAAAACACTGTTTAGACAATTAAATATACAAAATAAAGTTTTAAAAATATAATCATTTCTTACATTTAAAAAATGTAAATAATAACCAACAATCTTTTTTGCGAAAATATCATCATCATAATCATCATCGCAAATTATAATATAAAATACTACTTTATTCAGCCAACAACAATTAATTCTCGGTTTAAAAAGCCGTCTTATCCTATTGGAAGGGATGGCTTAGCATTGTATTTTTCGACAGAAGGCATTTACACTCCTCGACACGATTAAAAGAAAAGCGTACCTGTTTTTCGACTCAGGCATTCTCTATCCTATAAAGACAAGCGGTATAGTAGGCACGGGTACGTCCCATTGGCGATCGATCGTTGCCCGCATCAGCTGATCACTTGTCTACATAGCAGTATACATTTTGCGTCATATTCGCTATCGCCCTGTTTGTTTATTCTACTTCAAAGACAAACTCGTCCCGAAATGAATTTATCTCATTCGAAAACACGATATTACGAATTATTTCGAGTAGGCATTATACTAACACGTAAAAGGAATTTCGAGAGTCGTCACGTGACTCTCGACGTCATTCTACTTGGTCCGGTGGGTTTTCTTCCAATGGCTTACACATATTAAACGTGTTTCCCTGCTGATAAATGAAAATAAGAAGCCTTTAGCTGTAAAAAAAACTGGATTCGCTCGAAAGTAATGCTGGTATTTTTTAGTATTTTATTAACTACAGATTAGCTATGTTATGTGAATAATCGGAAATATATCGATAACTTTTACCTGTAGACTTTATTGGCTTTCAACATCTGTTAGCAATAAAGAAACGTATATATACTACAACATCAAGTAAAAACATTTCAAGCTTTAAAAAGTCATATTTACGATGCATATAATTAGAATGAGTTCGTCATTAAACATCATACATTAATGATTAATAATAATCGCGCGAAAATTAATCTCTTTCGTAATAACGTTTTAGTTATTTCGTTATCTAGTAATTGCTTGAAAGTTTATGACTATCGGTTCAAAGAAAAGTGTTTTATGTGTACACTAGCATATTTCACTTAAAAATGTAAATGAATGTTATCCTCTAAATTAGGAATGAGGTTAAATTATCTTTTTTTTTTTTTTTTAAGTGAATGAACTATTAACAAAATTTAAATTAATAACAAACAAAATAATCTGTGTTATTGATAAATTATCAGTAACACAGATATATCATTTTTATAAATAACACACTTCTCAATTTAACCTTTACTCTGATTAATGATTTATTTTTATGTAATTTTATTCTTATTTAAATTTGATAGAAATCTCATCTATAAACAGGGTAAAATTTATAAAGAAATTCATATAAAGTGATGTATCAATAGCTGTTAAATACCTCAATGTAAACCAAAACTTACTTTGAAATTGTGTAAGACTGTTTTACTGGATAAAAATATTTCATTGACAACCAATGAAATAAAGTCAATGAGATTTCTAAACAGCATGTGTGTGTGTATATGTGTATATATATATTATATAATGATGATTAATAGTTATTCCATTATCATTAGATAAAGCATGTTTATAACATTAATTATCTGCATTTTTGTTTGAATAATACAGTTTTAGTCAGTTTGAAATATTTCATGTTTTTATTTTTTCAAATGGTTGTGTCAGTAATTCTTTTCAAATGTTTTCATTCAATAAAGTTAATAATCATAATACATATCACATGTATAAGAACTATTCTGACTGGAAGAAAGTTGATCAAAATTATTGTTTTAAGTAGTTTCTTTAAATTTTTTCCTTATAGAAACAATAGATCAAAATCATATATTAAAAACATCAATGTAGACCTATTTATTTTTTTGTGGCTTCCAATTCTTTCTTTAAACACTACTAATCAAAAGTTTTTGTTTGATGGATTAAAATTATCACAAACCTTTCAACATTCTAAGTTATAATTTTGACAAAATATGTTAATGGATCAAGGTCAAATAATCAATGAGAAATTTTTGTAAATTATAATTGTTAAATAACTATTACAAAATTTTAAATTTATACTCTACTAATTAATATGTTATTTATTGTTGATTATTATTTTATTTTTCATAAAGTTAAATAATTAGGATATCTTGATTCTTTCATCTAGAAAATTGAATTTATAATAGTTTCAATTCAATTTTCTAAACATTGAATTCTCCATAACAAATATGTCAAGGTTTCTCAACTTATAGAGACATAACAATGCAATGGACTTTTACTTCCACATTACAAAATATCTAATCTAAGTGTTTACTATGACATGACTGAAATAATTATTATGTACAATTTTTTAAAATCTTTTTCTTAAATTATACTATTTTTATTTCAAATTCAGAAAAAAATCTAATATAAAAGGAATTAAAATTAACAGAAGAACTATACTTCAAAAATTTTAACAGAGATAATATTAATATAATCAATATATATATTAAATTTAAACAGCAAATTATATTAAATAAATATAATCATTAAATCTAACAAAATTAATTTCCTTTCATTTTTTTTTTCAATACGAAATGCAAACATATTAAGTCAAAATTGATTACAGTACATAATAAAACTACTCCACATGCAAATGTCAGGAACTAATGAAAAGTTTTCAAAAACATTCCGTTTTTATAATAATCATAACTGAAATTAGTACAGTATCATCACGTGAAAATGTTTTCAGAAAGAAACCAATTTTATTTCTACAAAGACTTACTGTTAGATTATAATAATTATATTTATCTTTTCGATTTATTTATTATATATTCTGATGTTTTAAAGATTTCACTTTTTATTACATTCACTCTCTACATGATTAATAATTCCACTTCATCTGAAATTTCACGACAATCTTTATTATTTCATTTCATAATTACTATCATTATAATGGCACCAGCAGAATATTATTTTTAGGTATGATAGCATGTTTGATTAATTTTTAATTACTTAAATAACACAAATGTTGAAAAACTATTTCAATATTAATAATCTAAAAAAAAACAATTATATTACAAAATTGAAAAATTACCGATCAATATTTTTAATATGTATCTTGAAACTATATAAATATAATCCATAGAGAATAAATAAAAAAAGTAACAAGTTATCAATCATATACTACGTTCGATGCATGCAAATTTCTTGATATAGTTGTGATTTAAATTAACTTTTTAAAAATACCGTAATTTTCATTTTGAATTGATTATAAAATAATTCATTGTTATATTACAAATAAAAACACACAGTATAAATTGCAAATAAAAAGACAATAAAAATCTAAAATTGAGTAAAATTGTCTGTCCATACACTTTTAGTGATCCAGATTTATTATTCTACCCAAAATTTCTTAATAGACCTAAATAATATACAATATGTTAGGCTGAAAGACCGAAAATGCTCGTTGAGCGAAAAAATGGACCACAAGGCTTTTCCGTTCCGACTTCTCCGATCCAGCCTGAAGGCGAATTTCGCGTCGCGGCACTTTCAGAAATGCGCACGACGCGTTTTTGCGTATTCGATAAGACCACGAAGTTAAATACGTGTCGAGATTCTTTAATAATCGACCAAATCGCGATCCGGCAATATCGAAATACCACGACTCAATGTGATAAAAATACAGTATCTATGCAAAGTTAAATAACAAATTTCTTTATGATCTAGAATAAAATGAAATTCTAATCTAAATTAAGAATTATACCAAACATAAACAGTTAGCCTCGTTAATTTCATGTAAAAACCTTAAATTTCTAAGTCGGAAACTTCTATTTGTCATTATGTTTTACTAATATTAAACTAAAAATTTGTTCGGAGTCGGTTTCTTTGTGGGAGTGTCGTTATCGAGAAGAAATTTGCAATCGACTGACAAATTGAGTAACAAATAAATTTCTTATTTGACTTAATTCTATAATACAGTTTTTAAGTATCTAGAAGTTTAAGGCATCGTACGTAGGTGTCGAAGATTCATAAACAAAACAATTAACAGCAATTTGTGGTCTTATCAAATATGCCAAAACGCGTCGTATGCATTTCTGAAAGTGCTGCGACGCGAAATTCGCCTTGTGGTCCATTTTTATCGCTCAATGAGTATTTTCGATCTTTCAGCATAACATACAGTATATCAAAATTGAATTCAATGTCATTTCAAAACTGAAATCAAAACAATCGAGATTCGTAAATTGGCAACGTCACACAGCAAGAAGGCAGATAACTTAGGGTGTGTATACTTTTGGAATCAAAGTGATCCAAGATTATTCTGATCGTTTAAAGCGCGTATGCAAACGAACTGTAGCGATCTGATAAATCTCTATCCGCGTATACAAACGCGATCTAGGATCAACTGGATCGTGATCAAACTAATCCGAGCAGAGGGTGGGATCGTTTGGATCGGATAAAAAAGATTAAAGAATCCATGGTTAAAGTCAAGCTTATAGTTGCGAGCAAAGAAATATGTTTCACTATCGAAATGAAAGTATTTAAAACATATAAATGTTAAGTAAAAGCATCAATATTTATGAAAATATCCGATAAACTGAGATGAATGTATTAAGAGGCAATTTTGTGAGATTGTACGGCAAGAATGCTCTCCATTTTGCCGTTTTGTGAACAATTTCATTCACAGAGTAAATACGATTCGATCCTAATCATATACTTTCCGCCAACTAAAACATATAATAGAAACAATCTGTATCACGTGACAAAGACTGCTCCGATCTTACAGATCGATCCATCTGAAATGAAAAGTATGTATGTGCACCCTTAGTAAATGAATTCATTTGAACCCGTTCATAACAAAAAGAAATGAAAAATTGTCAACTACTTTTACTATTTTTTAATAAAATAAAATAATTAAAAATAATAAATAAATTTGTAATAAGATTTTAAATAATAATTATTTATAGACTAATGCCAGAATCATAAATTATTTTTGGTTTTTCTGAAAAAAAATATTTAGGAAAGAAAAATTCACGTAGAAAGTTATTTTCGGGCCAGTGTCTGTAACTATTGACAAAATTGACACCAAACTCGACTTTTAATATTTTTATAACTACAACTAGCTGTTACCCGCAACTTCGTCCGCGGAGGTTTTGCAAGCAAACCCCATTTACATTCAATACTTCAATAACCATAGTAATTGTCATATAACACCTACCGCTGAAGAGAATTGCCGAGAATCAAATGAACTATCTTCAATTTCATCAATTTTCTGGAACGTTTACAATCATTCTATAATCGAACCAATATGCAATAACGAATTTGAATTTAAAACGGATCGAACATTTTTAATTAAAATCGAAATAGATAAAAATATTTATAACAATGTCTGAAATGTTATCAATTTAACACACCTAAGTACTCAATGAAGACTAAACGTAGTTGAAAACAAAAAATCGTATCTGAAATAGTACAGTAGAAGTCGTTTTCCGGTTAAGACTTAATGCTCTACCTCTCCCCCCGCGGGGAAATTTTGAAAAATCCTTTCTTAATGTGAATTCCCATGGCATACCCTACTAAAACACATATAAAAACAAAAAATCGCATCTAAAATAGTACAGTAGAAGCCGTTTTCCGGTTAACCCTTAATGCTCTCCCTCTCCCCCACTTGGGAATTTCGAAAAATCCCTTCTTAGTGTGCGTTTTCATGACGTACCATAACTGTGTACCAAATTTCACCTCTCTAGGTCCAGCGGTTTGCTCTGGGCGATGATGAATCAGTCAGTGAGTCAGTCAGTCAGGACAAGCAATTTTATATATATAGATTACCGGGGTCATCTGTATAAATAGCCAGAGGACGGGCCAACGACAATTAGAAAAATTTCTTATGGTGTCGGTCTTTGAGCCTAACAGATATACAAAATAAAGTGCATCTGTTGTGTACAGAAATCATTTCTATTTTTAATTTTTGTGGAAAGATATAAAATAAAAATACGTTGGGAGGGGGGACAAAATTATTGAGAGGATGTCCCCCCTCTGTCCCATATGAATCGACGCCAATGACTACAACATAAAATCAATAATTATCGATGAAGATAAATAGATATTTTCAAAACTGTATA